GTACTCAGCCAGCTCGCCGTCGTTGTAGTTTTGGTAGGCTTTTGTTCGGTAGAGAGAGCCACGGATCGGTAGGGTCTCGGTCGCCGTTTTGTTGCGCTTTTGCTGCTGCGGAGGATTTCCCAATTCTACACATTTATTAACGCGACGGGGACGAAGGTTTATCGCTATCAATCGAGTAACATTTGGAATAACGGGCGGCCACCCGAGATTCCAGCCAATGAACGAAATAGTCGTTCTGCATCACTGTGCGACAGTGTTGCGTCATTGTTCAAGCTTGAATTTCCTGCCAATGGGGTTGAAGCTTGATCTTGATTGATCGAAATTCTAGAACTTGTGTCTGGAACGACAGCAGCCACGTCAGTCGCAGACTGCGCCCTGATTGGGCTCATAACCAGTGGTGACGTAGGGTTCGTCACGGGGGGATTGTTCTCCATGTGTCGATCGCTTCTAAGAGTAGGAGCCATGTAAATGTAAATACACTTAAATGTCAACTTTAGGGAAACTAATCGGGAAGTAACGTAAACACGTAAGTGCCGGGGCAAAAGCCCGCGACAGGACTGCGGTGTCTGGGCGAGGCTGCTCTTCTCTGCTGCTCTCTGATGAGCGGGCAGGAGTCAAAACGCAGAGTGTTGGAGCAGCCTCCGCCAGAACATCGCTGTACCGCAAAGTAGATTGGTATACAAATAGCAAATAAGTCAATACTAAACTCTAGATAAATGCACTCTCGTTTGAGTACACCATCTTGGCAGCGCACAGCCAACGATGTCCTTGTGCATACAGTCCTTGGTATAGTCCTTCGCCATTGCACGCATGTGTACTCAGTGTAGCCGGTTGTAGTGCAGCCGCAAGCTGCACTGCCAGGCGCATGAGTGTCCTTGGGATGTGTCTTTGCAGACACTGGCAGTGGACGGTGGCTCGTAGATGGGGGCACCGGACACTGGCAGACTGCAATGCACTGGCGCTCGACACGCAGGTAAGTTTTATAGCTCACACCCAGCGGGGCGTGGTGGTGAATTTTTTAAGGTGCTGAGACAGAATTCTTGTGCCATGGCGACACTGTATTGTGTGCGTAAGGCGCTCTCCTTTTGGACGTTTTAGACATCTGAACTACTTAAAACCTCGGACTGTTTTAGGCATTCTTTATCCGGCCAGTCTACAACAATCACAATTTAACATTGCATCCATGTTAGCCTTTTACTTTGCTCAGGCTTTACAAAATTTGTAAAACAAATGTACTTTTGAAAATGCTTTAGTTCTGTATAAGACATGTACAGACATGTACAGCTAATTTGAGCGGGTTCGTGCGCTTTTGCTGGATCGGAGGCCTTCACAACTCCACATCGCTACCAACGCGACGCGGTCGCTGGATGTCGCTATCAACCGGACGGTAACCAGCACTGTAAGACGTGTAGCCATCATGCTCTGCGTAGCCCTGTGACGCTGGTCGAGAGCTGCGCGATCCATTGGAATCGTTCGTGCCATCGAGACTGCGTGCTGGGAGGCTACTTGCTGGAATACTCCACGACCCAGTAACTCGAGCAGTGCCTGCATCAGATCCAGCCCTGCCCTCCTTTGGTCCCGACGAGTACAGCTCCGACGCTGCATCATAAGGAGGTGGTGGAGGATAGCTGTAGTTGCTCATATCAACGTTGTTATTACTCTGTCGACGCCAAGCAACGACTGCGACAACAACAAGCGCAACAACGACTACAACGCCGCCCACAATGATTCCGATGATGGCGGCCTGCGATATTCCGCTGTCGTCATCGGTTGTGGTGGTGGTCGCTGGTGCCTCCGTTGTTTGTTGTTCCTTGGCTTTGGTTACTGTGAGCTCGGTGTACACAGCGTACGCAAACTGCTTCGACGAATTGGTGTCGGGCATAATGATGTGTGCAAGCACAGAGTGGGGTCCAGCCGTTCTGAATTGCACCGAGTCCTTAAAATTGGCTACATTGTCGGTAAGATTGGCAATCTGATTTGAGGTCTTGTCCTCAGGCTGTTCACCGTCGTCGAACGGGTCGCAGTCCGTCTGGTAAACGCAGGAGTGCACGTTAGAGTGCACAATTTGCGCCGTTCGACCACTGCTGTCCTGGCCGTAGGAAAGTTGTGTCATATTCACGAGATTGGTGCCACTGAAATCGGCGTCGACTGTCCAAGTGACGTTCACGGGTGTGTTCACCTCGACAGTCGTCATGTCCAGCGAGACGGTCATAGCGATGGGGCAGCCGTTGGTACCCGAGTACTCCTGTGTGCGATCCAGCTCGGTCAGCTTGTAGTTGGAGGCCGGCTCATTTATATGCCAGCAATACGTCGTTTTGCCATTGTGGTCGTAGTCTACAACAGTAAAAGAGTTAGGTAGACTAACCGCTTAAGTGTATAAGGGTAACTTACTTGTTCCGAGAGCGGTCACTGTCAACCAAAGTGCCGTAGAAGTAGCGACAGCCTGCAAGAAGCGCGTCATATTGATTCGTCAAATGCGAAATAAGTGTTTAACAGCCGAAGAATGCCGAAGGGGTCTTACTCGAAAGACTTCACCCATGCCTGTCAATAGGTACACTTTTGACTGAGTTTCAATAGGGAAATTGCGCTGACTCAAACAGCGAGTAACTTCAATTCCGCTCTGACTTTGCACCACTAAACTTGAGATGTAGTACGGTAGTTTTCGTAGAGGCCATCTGTGCGATCGTTGCATGTCTGTTTGTAAGCGAAGCGCAGCGCCCCGCTTATCCCATCTGGCCGTTCGTAACTACGCGGCGCCTGCACGAAGAGGAGCGACTTTCACCGCCAGTCCTCGTCGTCCTGCCAACCACCCAAAGACCGAGAAAATGGCGGCGCGTATGAGCGAGATCGGCATGTCGGCCGTACGGGCCAGCGAAATTGGCATGCGTCACAGCGCTGCGAGTACGTCCTCTAGTCTCCCCTGCTGCTATTTAAGCCAATAACACATCCTCCCGCCACTGCCCCATCACACTGACGTGTTTTTCTTTGTGTATGTCGCGCTACTGTACCAGATCTGCAGATGATGGTCGGGACGGTGGCCAACAAGGCGCACGGTATCGCCACGATTATCTCGCGTAGCTCCGGCCGCGGCCGCAAGGCACGAACCACGAAAACTGTCCCCACCTCCAAAGCAGAGGATGATCTCTCGCCCATGTCAAAACTCGGCGAGGTGTCGGAACCAGAGGCTGAGGTGCCCGAGGCAGAGACGGATCCGCTGAAGTCGCAGCAGGAAAAGAAGGACGAGCAGGAACAGGAACCGGAAGAAGAACAAGAGCAGGAACTGCTGCCTGTATTCCCTTGGGAGGTCCGCACAGATGATGGCCTTACGAAAGAGAACGTCACCGTGAAGAAAAAGATCCTAGAGCTCGCGATTTACCGAAGGACATTTGTGGAGCCTGCAGATGGGGAGGAGGAATATGTATTCGACTACGCTACATTGAAGGACGTGGCGATGGAGTTACTATTGAGCAACCCCAATCTGCGCGAGAAACGAGAGACGCTGGTGGAAGCTGTGCCTGTACCTGTTGTCTCCGAAGAACTTTTCTGGCGCAACTTTTTCCTACGCTGCAACGCTGTTCGTGTGGCGGAAGGTATGCCGTCTTATTTGCCGGAGGTGACGCAGACGCCTCTGTCTACAGGACCCTTGGCCAGACTTCGACGTGGGCTTTTTGGCAAGAAACCCGTGCTCTCGTCCGCCAGCTCGGGCAAGTTCAGCCGTAGTTTCTTGCCCGTCGGTCGCTTTGCCCCATCGGAGAGTAATAGGACGACGCCAAGGGAGGACGACCTGAGTGATCTGGAGCTAGACGTGGACGGCGAGATCGAGAAGGAGCTTGTTAAGCGACGCCCGTCCCGTGCAGTGGAGCTGCACCTGCGTCTGGTGCCCCCAGCTCAGGATAACGACGCTGAAAGCACTGCTGACGAAGAGGAGCAACCAGAAGCCAAGCCGAAAGAACCTGAAGATACTCCGGATGCCAGCAGTCCCAAGGAACCGGAAGAACACGCCCCAACTCTCGTGTAGATTGGAAGAGGGATTACATGTGGGTGGGCCCAATTGTTTGTAGGTATCGTTTTGTGGCGTCATGTGATTAAATAAAACAAGCGTTGCTGTAGTACATGACAAGTGACTAACCTGGACGTGGAGTAGTGCACGCCGATGACGAGTTTTCAAAATGTGTTTGTAGCAACGCAACCTCAGTCGGAGTCAACGTAGTTGGAATTGACTCGACCAGCTTCGTCTAGCTGGAGACTCGCTAGCCACAGCGCTGGTCTCGCGCAGTCGATAGGGATTTGCACCTCAATCGCTGGACCTCCACCGTAGACATTCTGGTAGTAATCCCAGCTCTTCTTGTTGATCATCCTGAAGTCCTTCTTGATGACAAGACCGGATTTAATTTGGAACGTGCCGTCCATCAGATCGTCCGAAATGAGAGGCATATTGTCTACAGTGCCAGGACTGTGAGCCTCTTCGCCCTTGTACGTTGACACAAAGAGTAGCCAGGCACGGATCCAGTCTGCGTTGACGGCAAACCATATCTCGCCTGGCCTTGGCTTCGTCTGGTGAAAACTCTGAAGTTTACGCACTTCGGCGCGGATATCGTGCACCACAAGGGACTTGGAGCTGCGTCCGAACTCGTCCTCATGGGCCACGAGCGTGTTCACCATGTTGGACACACGACCATCAGTCATCACGGTATAGTTTGAGGGAACACCGTAGCCGTTGAAGCGAATCAAGAGCTTGCCTGGCTTGCGATTCGTCGGGCCTTCCAGGGCTTCCCGGCGGACCATCTCATCGGTCGGCAATAAATGGAACTCTTGCTCATGTGGCGGTTGCTGTAGAAAAAAGAACGTTACGGTGCCAATGTCAGTCATGCGCTACTCTTTCCAATATTTTAAGCTGCAGCTAAGCCCACTCACCATCTTAAGCTCCATAATGTCTCTCAACGACAGCATCAGCTGACCCATATCTTTCTTGACGAGACCAAATTTTTCGACGTGACGCACAGTGAACAGCACACCCACGACCTTGTCGGTGTCCACGTCTCCGAAGTCAACGTCGAACTTCCACATGGGGTTGAGGGAGCCCTTGATCACTCGAGACTTGAAAGGCTTTGTGGCCATTCCATGTTGGATACCCCCAGCGGGTAGTGACGATGTGCTGTTTCTGTGAGAGCGTGGCTGTAGTCCGGGTGGCGCCTTGAGATCGTTGCCCATGTCCCAGCCGATGCTGCGCTGGAATTGAAGCGAACCGTCGTCATGAATGAGCGAGACATCCACCATTGGATTGCTTGTAATACCCTTGTGCATGGGCCGCAGATCGATGGCGGACACGACGCGCACGGACACGACGCAGGGCGCTGCCATGGCGTCCAGTGCGGCCGAGCCAGGCACCAGGAGCGGCTGGTCGTGGCGAGGGGTTAACTCCATAGCGCCGAAGCGGTCGGACGCAGTCGTAGACATCATAGCGCTGAGTGCTCGCACAGTGAGAACGCTGCCGAGAGGGTGGGACCACACCGCAGGAAAGCAAGTGCACACAAAGTGCTCAGCGAGCGACCACTGCGACACCGCGTTAACGGCGGGGATGAAGTGACTATGAACAGAGAACGCAGTCCGACTCTATCCTTTGTTTTCAAACCAAATATAGACATAAAGATATTATGTGGTTTCAAAGGCGGATTTCGTCCCTAAACTGGCAAAATGGACTTCACTCTGTATAAGAATGAAAGTCACTTTGCCAATTTATACGTTTTACCGCTCTGTACCTACTGAAAAAAAGACGCTTGTTCCTACCCAACGCACAGCGTGGGTAACCCCACCTATTAAATACATTGTAGGCTACATATATTGCTGAAAACCAGGCGGCCGTCGCAGCGCCAGCAATGTCCACAGCTTCTTGTTGGCGTGCTTGCACCGATCTCCCGCGTGTGCAGCTAATTAATGTTAACACCGCTACTCATGTACATGTACCAGTATCACCGTCAGTTTTCGCCAATATGTCTGTCGCCCGACTCTAAAATGGTGTGTGTCGCTATCTTCAACAGTCGCAGTCATTGTGATAATTGCCGGATAATAAGCGATCCAAGATGGAGCCTGGACGCCACACGTCCAGCGCTGTGTCCTCGGCATCAGCGTCGCCCGTGTCATCGCCGCGTACTCGCAGACCGACGACCACCACGACGGACGAAATTCTCTATACGCAGCCTGCGAGCGTCCACTTTGGAGGCTTTGAGCTTGGGCGCTCCGTCCAACAGCGCATCCGCGTTCGCAACAACAGCGCCAAAGCCATACGACTGCGATACACGTTTCCAACTGGAAAAAAAGGGTTCCGAGCGACGTTTGCCAAGGTTGATCGACCATCGTTCGTGTCGGCGGGGCTCTGCGAGGAGATTTTGGTGTCGTTCACGCCACCTACCGGGTTCCAGTATTACTACGACTGCATCCAGGTGCAATGTGAAGAAATTGCCTACGGTTCCAATACCGACGTGACTCGTAGTGGATCCACATTGATCCCGCTGCACGCATATCCAATGGTGAACGAAGTAGCGTTTCCAACGCGGCTGGACTTTGGTGTGGTAGCGCGTGGTACCTGTGCCCGCAAATTTCTTGATATCACGTGCTCCGTTCCAGTTGAGTTCGAGTACGAACTACGCGTCACGAAGCCGCATCCGGCGTTCACGGTATTTCCACTTACAGGTTCCATCCCTCCTACCGGTGAAGCGTGTATTGAGCTCGAATATCGACCACTGCAGTACGCGACCGCAAGTGCCGAGTTAGAATTGCACGTCTCGCAACTGGGATTCGTTCCTCGTATATGTACCCTAGTAGGCTCGTCCTCCAGCACTGCAGTCGGTGGAAGTACAACCGTGGAGGTTGCACAGCTGAAAGGAGGCTCACCAGCGTCTCCAGCAGGGAAAGAAAGGTCAGGACGCCAAACCGCGGAGCAGGCAAAAATAAGCAAGGCCAGCACACCAAGAACTGAAACGAAGACTCGAAGAAAGGAATACGCGAAAGTAGAGCCTCAGTCCGACGAAGTCAACGAGCGAGAGGAACTTGAGAAGGTACGGGGTATTGAAATCCCCCACAATTTGAGCTCCGTCACAGGTGTGACTTTTGTGCTAAATCAAGAATCGGGTAAATTCAAGCCTAAGGACTTGAAGAAGGCCATCGCCAGAAACCGTGCACTCCAACAGCAACAACGAGAAGAGCAGGCTAAACTGAGCACAGGGAAAGCTCCAGATGATCAGGACGAAGATGCCGCGACGTTAAACTTTCACGCTCTTGTGCAAGAAGAAGAGGGGTATCTGGAAAGAACACGCGTCGGTAAACAGATCAAGGATATGTTCTTTCTTCAAGAACTGCGGGAAGTGGCCGAGGCCGAAAAGACTCTCGAGTTCCAGAGCCACAAAGTGCACCTCGGGCAGCGGTTGCTGTCGAGTAAGCAAGTCGGTTATCTAGCCAAGCTTCGAGAAAAAAACTCTCGTGTACTGACAAATCAGCAACGAGAGCAACTTCGCACGATGTTCATCAATGTGCTGTACGATCCGCCGGTCGTTTGTGATCAGAAAAACGATAACAATCAGCTTCTTTTGCTCGGAGAACTTAAAACTGCAGTGCTTCCAGCTCACTTCATACCAGCGTACACCCCGGATTTCAAACCATACAAGAACGATCTGTGGGCACGACGGCAGCGTCTACTGCGTCGTCTAATTCGTGCCGTGTCAACGTGTATGTTGCGCCTTAGAGCTCAGAAGCGCCTCAATCGTATTCATGCATGGCTTGATGGGTCGAAGACTCGGGCTCAAGTGCGCGAAAAGGTTGCGCTGGACTGGCAGTCAAGTACTCAAACCGGGTGTATCGCTGTTCCCGAGGCAGAAAAATACAAGGTTTCAATGCAGAAGGCAATACAGAAAAGCAATGAATCAGTATCAAACGATGACAGTAGCCGAAACTATTTATCCAGTTTCCCCATAATCGAAGAGAGCACCACACAGAAGCACCGCGAGAGTATTGATGTACCAGCAGATTGGGGACTTAAGTTCACATCGTTTACGTTCATGGAACTCAAACCTCGTGATGAATCTCTTTTAATGGGGCATGAACCTTTTCCCCTGCCGGCACTTCCGACGTATGTGCCGCTGCAACATACTCGTTTGCTTCGTCAGGGTGCCAAGGACGAATTCGGGGTACTTGACTCGTTACTGCTCCAATCTCCAGCTTCAAAGGTTGATGTTTTCTCTACAGATGATACCAGTATCGATCAAACACTATCTGGTAGTGCGCCGTCAATGCTGGAAATGTTGCCATCGGACATTTTCCAACGGCCACAAGCTAGTGTGCGACCACTTAAGGAATTGCCAGGACAACGTGAGACAGAGTCAAGCTACGCCCTGCGACCACGCCGAGTGTTTCGTACGTTTCCGACTTATTTTATGGCTTGGCAGAATTCCCAGATTGGACTTCAGTCCGTCACAGGGTCACATGATGGAGTAAAACTCTACTTGTCGGACGCGTTTCTCAGCTCTACCGACAGAAAACAAGTTGAACCAGTATTCCCTTTTGCTACAGAATTCTCAATTACTGCGAATGGATCAATGTTTGGAGACGCATGGAATTTGGATTACAACACTGTTCCTCCGCTTGCAAAGCGAGCAGATGATATTCCGAGTTTGTCGGATAGCGAGAGTGACGAGGATGGAGGGACTGGAGAGGCCCATATCTCGTGGAAGCATGCTCTTGAGTTGTTTGAAGACCCCTCGGCTGGCCTAAACGATGATAAACCTTCTAGCATTTTTGAAGACGGTGAGCTTTTCGGATGCGAAAAGGGAGTTTTCAGCTTCCAGCGATACCGCCATTTGATTCGGCAAGAGCGTGCATACAACATTCACCGGCAAAAACTATTTGAGCGGCTTCCCGAGGTACGAAAGCGTCAAACTCACCTTGTAGTCCCGACAAAATATAACTGTTTTATACTGCGCTGTAGCTGCTTGATGCCGTCTCTACCCAAATTGAGCATCCAGACTACGCATTTGAGGTGCGAGGTCATGGTCCAGAGCGGCCGCTGCATCAAGCACGACATTCCAATTAACGAAGAAACCAACAAATACATTTTTAGTCTGTTTTCAGTCCACTGTTGTCGATGTTAAATTAAATGTCGACAAACAAGGTCAGAATGGGTGCAGCCGTATTGCTTTATAGCAATATAAAATTTTATCGAATATGTACAAGTATTAAGATTTGCTCAAGGAAAATCATGTTAGCTACTAGCTAACATGATCTCTCTAGCTACTAGCTCGAGAAATCTTGGTTATCTGGGATAAATGGTCAGATCTTTGCGAAGATGTCGGTTAGATTTATAATACCACGTACTAATACTATATAGTACTTTGAAGTAATATTTAACAAAAAAGCAGTACGGCTGCACATCAACTAAACTTCCACCGACTATGTTTGAGACTGAAAAAAAACAAGGCATGGAGGGCCCTCAAGATATGAAACGTTTGGCGGGACCCCGGGGTCCCACCGGGACCCCGGTATCCCCATCAGAAACCGGTATCATTTTTAAGTTGATTTGAAATTAGTATGACTGAACTTGAAGTACTTATTCTTTCTGTTGTGTGTGTGACGTGAAGAACTGCAAGATGGAAGGTTGGTTACTGCGTGGCTTTGCTGAAGTGCTTGTCTTCTTTTTCAACTTCTTCTTCTTGTTGCTACTGTTGGTGTCACTGGACGTGGCCTTGACATTCTGTAATGACTCTGGTACGTTTGGATAATAGTGCAAGTGCTGAGAGGGAATGGAGAAGTATTTAGCTGATAGTGATTTTAACTTGCTCGCTGATAGCTCCTTGACAGGGTGGCGAGGGAGTCGCATGGATGAAAGAGACGCTTCAAAAATTGTCTTGACCGTGGGGCCGAATAGATCCGCCAGAACAGCTTTTCGAACAGCTTCAATGTTTCCAGGGGCAACCATCGAGAAAGAAATAGAGCTTTCATCCGACGTTCCTGCTGTACTACGAGCAGTACAAACTCCACAATCAATCTCAAAAAGGTAGTTTCAGGTGGAGCCCCCAGGCGGTGGGATAAAGTATTTGCTCAACAACTCGTTCCAGCCCACATAGAATGGTCGATTGGCATCAGTGTGATCTCAAAACACACCCTGTACACTTTTCACCTTGTTCACCTCTTTAATCAATTTTTTTGGTGTATATAAGTTCAATCCTCGAGTTGCCCGTCGACACCAAGCAATAACGCGGTCAGCAATATTGTGAGAGTGTCCAGGTAGTAAATAACAAAGCACTACTTTCTTGTAGGGAAATACCACCGAACGAAATGCGAAGAACATTAAAACTGCTTTCGATTTGTTCTGCCCCACACAATTGTCCAATGTACTGAAGCTCACTTCAGGAGGTGCGACCTCGTTGTGCTTAGCCCGTGATATAATTGAAAGAGGGTAGTTCAAGCGTAAGCTACATAGCGCATTAGCATATTTTCCTTGCGCTCGCTCGTCATAGAAATACACGTTGTTGACACCATTGCTGATGTCTGCCACTACAAAGTTCTGCAAAATGAGATTGCTGTTGAAATAATCCGCCGAAGGGCGAACATGACCATAGTACGGCATGGATATTCCACCTCCATAATCTTCTGCCTGGATCTGAATGACACAATGCGCCGTTAAAATTGAATCTTCTGCATTCAATGCTGATGATTCGATTTGTTGGCAAATTTCCATTTCATTTTCGTCATGACACTGTAAATCAGGAAGATCTCCACATTCGGAAACTGCATCGTAAGTATCAGGAATAATACATTCGGGAAGGCTTTGTTCTGGTGCATGTAACGCTGAGTAGGATTTTATAAACGAAGAAATAAATCGCCGTTGGCCCATGGCACTATCGAGATGCATCTGTTTTTTTAGATGAAGAGACTGCCGCTCATCATCACTGAGATCAGGTTGTTTCAGTTGAATATCGATGCGTACGCAGCAGTCACAAACATCCTCAGCGGTGCGAGTAAGACGTACAGCAGGGTATAAGTAGTGAACGTATTGTAGGAACCGGGAATAACTCATGACACGCGCCGAAGGGTTTGTACGAGTAAGTTCTTCTTCATACCTACCGTGAACGACTGTCCATTTCAGATTAGGCTCGGTGAAGTACTCCCGAGGTTGTCTATGAGCACACGGAAACCCGTCTTCAAGTATCCAAGTCTCACAGTGTTTCTTCAGTACAGCAATATCATCGTCACTCAGTGCATGCCAAGGTCGTTGTGGCTCGCGACGAGTGTGTAGCGTTTCAACTCCTTCCTCCAGTACTTTCCGCAGTCTTGCAATGCGGCTACCACCCACAGGTATAACAGCTCGAATTTCTCGCTCCGATAATCCTTGTTGAAGAAACTGAATGACTATTCCTTCTGACTGTTGCCACTCGCTTCCATCTCGCCTTGTATTCATTTGATCCCAGTCGTTACGAATCTTCTTGACGGTATCTTCGCCTAGCTTTTCACATACACGTATATACGCGGTCTCTTTCCTGTCGACTCGTTTTGCACGCTTTCGAGGCGGGACGGTTGAACGTGGGCCGCCAGACGCCCGAGACGACATTTTCCGCAGCGACACCCGATCGAAACTGAAGATTAAGTCACAAGTCGCGACTGCCCAAAATAACACAATACCGAGCATAATTTATGCGGTCCCGCCAAACGTTTCATATACTACTAAAAAAGTATTAATACGTAGAAGGGTCCGAGAACTAGTAGTATTCAACACATGCCATGTAGTAATAGCATCTTTCATTTGGTGTGTCGTACGAATAGCAAATGAAAAAAGGATTGATTGACATCAAACGTTTGGAGTCAGCTTCTCACCGCTTAATACACTTCCAGCACGTAGCGGCCTTCCTCGCGCATGCGTTCGATCGTCGCGTTCGCCTGACGACAGTCCAGTCCACCAACTTGAGTGAACGAGCTCACCAACGCTTCACGTACATCCGCCACAGGCCACGTCGGACCACACAGGTAGAAGTGACCGTTCTGGCGCAACAGCAAGTCTGCCAGAATCTCCTTGTCCTCAGCGATTTTATCCTGGATGTACACCTTGTGCTCCTGGTCACGCGAGAATGCGCAGCGAAGGTACGTTACCAGACCGTCTGCCTCGAACGCGTCCAGTTCGTCGCCATACAGATACTCCTTGGCCTTGTGACGACTGCCAAAGTACAGCGCGACTGGACCGACTTTGACGCCCTGTGAGCGCAGGAACGCACGCTCCTGGATGAACGCACGGAACGGAGCCATACCCGTACCCAGACCCGCCATCACGATCGGGTCCTGCGGGTTCGCAGGCAACTTCATTACCGACGAGCACACAGACACCGAGAGCTTCTGTCCAACCTTCACACCTGCCAGGAAGCGCGTGGCCTGGCCGATG